AAAATTATTTGCATTTTTTATATTGCACTAAATTAGGGGTCCTCAAACTACGGCCCCTGGGACAGATACATGCAATGAATGTCTGCAGTATCCCCCTTCGGGGTCTTTTCGTGCGGGACAGAGAGGGGCAGAAATTCCAACTTGGGGTCTGCTTCAGCCTCCTGGTGGGGGGCTTTGGGCGCAGGCTGGAGGGAAGCGGCGGTGGTGGCAAAGAGCCAGAGGGCCTTGTTCCAGTGGGACTGCATCATGGCCTGGAACTGGCTGACCATCTCAGCCCACTGAGCGTCCAGGCGCCGGTACCTGGCCTTGTACTCCCGCAGGTCTTCCCTCTGCTTGGAAAGCCTATGCTCGTACTCCTCAGTGAGGTGCTTCTGCTGAGCCTCCTTCTCGGTCAGATCCAATTTGAACTGAGCCAGCTATTTTGCCAACTCTTTCTCCTGGTGGCTGCTTAGCTCCAGTAACTGCTTCCTATTGGGGCCCTAAGGAGCCTGGGAGGGCAGGTGAGGAGTGGCTGGGAGGGGAGAGTAGAGGCCAGAGAAGCGTCCCTCGACATGAGTGACATCAAGATGCCCACGCCCATCCAGTCACATGACTACCTAGCCAGTCATTAGGCAGATCATATTAGTAGTCTGTGGGATTTAAAATTATGGATTTAGTGGTCCCTGAGGTCCAAAAGATTGGGGAGCCCTGCTTTAGCACACCCGAAGCCAAAGGAAACTGTGAAGCTGCTAGGCAAGGCTGCCTTGATAGAGTGGAGGATTAAAAATAAAAGAAGATGATGTCTAAATAATCCACTTTAAATATCCTCCGGAGAAGCATGGCATGCTACTTCTTAGCCAGCAGGATTTTTTTTAAAGCCTGGATTGGTTAGGGAAGGGTACTTGAGTACCATTCTATGAAATTTGCCACTGCTTATTCACTTTATTATGCAAGACGAATTTCAGAAGAAAATTCGTCTTGCATAATAATTTTTCATTTTTCCCTTCCCTCTGGTGGCAGATTTTCAGCTGCCAGAGGGAGAAAACTATGGCCCTTTTATGACTTTTAACCAGAGCATGGCTGGCTCAGGAATTGTGAGAGTTGAAGTCCACAAGTCATAAAAGGGCCATAGTTTCCCACTCCTGTTTTAAGCAAACACACACAAAATGCTGTGTTTCAGACATTAGTCATGTAAGAAAATTTGAGAAGTGAGATTAAACTAATAAGACTAAACTAAACTTGCTATGACGACTACTGCAAAGGTGACTATTTAAATATAGTTGAGGATGGGGTTTTTTTAAAAAAAAAGCAAAAACAACACACCTGTTTGTAATAAATTTGCACACTGGTTTTGGCTTTCTTCTAGACTTCTTGAGAGGCGGTTTATTATTTCATTTTTTTCTAATTTACTTCCTTCAAGAGTTCTTTCAAGCTGTTTCACATGCTCCTTTAGATGGCAACAAATTTCTATCTGATAAAAATGGAGCACAACTTATAAGCCTTCATAAATTTCAGCTACATATTCATCCAATAAACTTTGTTATTCATCTTTACTTCCATAATGTTTATATATTACTAGCAAAAAAATTGTTCCATTGATGTCTATTTTTCTGCTTCTGTATTTTTCTGAGCTCTGCTTAAAAAAGCTTCATAGCCCTGGAGAAAACATTCAGATCCCAAGTGACAAATAATAGGGTATATCTAGAAATAAAAGCATTAATTTATTGTCTATATTATAAAATATGTTTAAATTAGTACTACTACAGGGAGCTAAAGATATTTTGGAGGACTTCTTTCAGTCTTTAAAATAAGACAGGCAAAGACATTCATTCTGATATTTGCTCTTATTTTACTCCTGCTCATACTGAAATAAAGCATAATACAGGTTGTCCTTGACTTACAACAATTGAGCCCAAAATTTATGTTGCTAAGTGAGACGTTAAGTGAGTTTTGCTCCAGTTTACGGCTTTTCTTGCCACAGCTGTTAAGTGAATCACTGCAGATGTTAAGTTAGTAATCCAGTTGTTAAGTGACTCTGCCTTCCCTATTGACTTGGTTTGTCAGAAGGTCACAAAAGGGGATCACAAGACCCCGGAACACTGCAACTGTCATAAATATGAACCACTTGCCAAGTGTCTGAATTCTGATCCAGCAGTCCGTGGGAATGCTGTAATGGCCATTAAGGGTGAAAAACAGCCAGAAGTCACTCTTTCCAGTGCCGTTGTGCCATCATTGAGTGAACTGTTGTAAGTTGAGGACTACCTGAATCAGCAAATGAAGATTTGGGGCTATGAAGCTTATTGAGCAGAGAAAACTACGTTTCGTAATGTGAATGCCTTGTGAGAGTATTTTCGTATTGTGAGGAAGGATCTGACCTGCTCCTGGAGGGATGCATTCTTCACATCGAGTTTCTGTTGCAAAGATGAAGTCTGCTCTTCCAGTTTCTGCTTGAGTGCGGCAACGATAGCCTCGTGTTGCTCCCTTGCACGCTGAAGAGTGTCAGAACGGCGAAGTTCCAAGAGCTGCTGTTGCATACTTTCCATGGCAACTTCTGTCACTTTGGATTGTTTGATCAACTGCAAACAAAATAATGCAACGGCAATAGCACTCAAGACTTAAAGCATTTCACGGTGCTTTTACAGCCCTCTCTAAGCGGTTAACAGAGTCAGTGTATTGCCCCCAACAATCTGGGTCCTCATTTAACCAACCTCGGAAGGATGGAAGGCTGAGTCAACTTTGAGCTGATGCAGATCAAACTGCTGACAGTCGGCAGAGTTGGCCTGCAACACTGCATTCTAACCACTGCGCCACCATGGGTCATAGAGATATGGGATTTAATTCAAAATGGTAACCCAGCTCCCTTTAATATGTTGTAAGCAAACTCTCAATCAATATAAAGATATTAGTAGAACTACACTAGGATAAATACATTAGCGACAAATCTCTTTTCCAGCACACTGAGAAACATGATGCAATGGAAAAACAATGTCTAACAACAAGGCCTCACACAGCAATATATATATATTTATATAGTGGTAACTTTGAATGGTTGTTAAACAAAAGAGTCAGTAAGAGAGGGATATCTGTATTGTCTTTACTCCAATTTGGCTGTAGGTCAAGAATTGTTGGGGGAGAAATGTACTCAACTATATTGCCGCAACCTTAGTTTGAATATGATTAATTCCCCCTATCATGTATGTCATGGCTTAAGCATGGTTTATTGTCTAGGCAACATTCCAAGCTATAAATAATAGTTTATTAACCATAATAGCTATGTTCTTACAATATGCTGAGCCAAAATCAACGTAAGACCAACAAGCCACGTTACCTTAACTCAATATATGTTGGTTTTCCCAAAATTTCATCTCCACATTCAGCTTTTCAGAAGACAGAATGTGCTCTATGGTTTGCTTGAGGAATGATGCTCTGCATTTTTGAGCTTTTATTGCTTCATGTACCCTCTAAATGAATTATTTAGCAAGCAGTTTCAAAGCCCTTGCACGATCAAACGTATTGTCCTACCTGCTCCTCGTTAGCTGTCAGAGTCTGAATTTGGCTTTCGAGCGCTTTTATTTGGCCTTCAAGTTGAACTTCCCTTTCCTTGCTATTTTGGTAGAGCTTTTGACTTTCTTGGAGGCTAAGAAACATACCATCCTTTTCATCTTTAAAAAAGAAAAAAAACATTTACATGACTATTTAGTTACTTTTTAAGGTTTGCAACATACTCTTTTGGGGAGTGGGGGCGGAATGGACCCTAAAATAGAAGACTTTATGTGGTGGAGGACACAACGAAATAGCACCTATTTCAGAATTCTGAGGTTTTAATCTCAAATTTATGGCATTTTAGAAAACGTTATTTACTACCCAAAATAGTTGGTGAATGAAGTTTGAAGAAATGTTCTACATATGACAAATAAGCAAGCAATCGAGAAAATATCAACACTTAAGCATGCAAGCACTCCCAAGACTTAGTCACCCAATTTAGGAGGCCATTCCCCCAAATCACCAGAGGTTATTGCACTGTGGATCATACAAAGTAGCACATTCAATCATTGGGACGGGCTGTTTTTGGAAAAAATACCAACTGTGTAACCGCTTGTCTTAAATTTAGCATAAGCAGGAAGGAAGGCTTACTTATTTCTCTCAAGTTTTGCTACATTTCAAACATTGTTTCTCATCAATCAACAATCATAAAACTTAAAGGGGTTTAAATTAATAAAAGTTAACATGGGTTAATTTTAACCAAATAAGTGAAGGAAACGGGAAGTGTCCTCCATCAGTTCTGGGTTAGGGTCCCCTACTTGAACAGGGGGATGAACTAGAAACCTCCAACCTCCTTTTCAACTGTTGTTCTGTGAATACATCATATAACAAAACTTGACATGGCCCAAGTATACGTCTGCAGTCTTATCTTTTGGACATATTTACCTTTCATAATTGCAAGCTGATGGGAAAGGTACCTAATTTGCTGTGCTCTTTCTTCCAGCTGGTTAGTAAGTTCTCCTAAAGTTCTTTCTTTTGCTTTATTCAGAACCTGCAGCTGAAGAATCTGCCTGTTGTCTGAAGAACCTGCAACTCACATTAAGTTTCCCGCACGTCAGGCATACAGTATACAGGGTTTTCTCAACCAAATGCACAATTCAATAAAATCCCCGAGAACAAGAATTTCTTCTTGACAGAAGTACGTAAATTTTGTTGGACAGACTTTACTAGATACTTCTTTTAAATTATGTACTGTGGTTTACTTAGGTAGCAGAAAGGTGAAAAGCCTTTTTATCAGACTCACGAAAGAAGAGATGAAAACCTTCATAAACAATTACCCGATTCAATGGAAAAAAAACTAGGATTCTAGCTCAACACGTATAATCAAAAGCACATACTTACTTTCACCAGTACCTAGAAATTCTTGTTGCAGGTCTTCAAATGCTTCTGCCTCTGATGAAATAGGGGCTGTTTTTTGAACATTCTTCTGGTAGGGTTTATACACAACTTTGTAAGGCTCCAAAGATTGGCTGTTGGTTTCTGAACCACCATACTGCAACTTTAACAATACAATTTGTAAGTGCTACGTACCTGTTTAGTTTTAATTAAAAAATGCCGATAGATTCGGTGCCATTTATTTATTATGAAGTTTACTTGCTGCCTATCTCGTGTCAAATGACTCCGTATCATTTTTTTAGGGACCACATACATTTTTGTCCACAATGCCGATAGTAAAAACAGATAAATAGAAGTACAGCTGACTTCAAATAGGACGCCCAAGCGACTCATTAATCATTCTGCAGAAAATGAAAATGTTTTTCTGCGTAGCAAGGCAAGCTACTAAAATCAGAGATTTTTATTTAACGAAGTTTATGAAGCCCACTGGGACCTACAATCATTCTTGGAGATAAGCAAGATGCCAGAAGTTGCAGCACGTCAGTTTCCTATTTTTAAAATGTTATATTTATATTGTATAAAATAAAGGGGGGGGGAATCTGAGGCGAACAACCTGGTAATTAACAGATGATGTATCAACAGGCACAAAAGCCAGGATCTCAAGCCCTATCCAAGTTACATCAGGCTGCGTTCTTTCTCAAACAAGCTCTAATTTTGTATTCAAAAATAATGAATGAACAATGCAGAAATTATAATTCCTTTTCAGTTTCATTCCAGAACGCTACAAACTGCTAATATGTGAAAACTGGGACACAACCAAATAATAAAGGGCCATCCACACAGACCTACCTTCAAGGGTTCCTGTGGAGAATCAGCAAAGTTTGGTACAACGCCATGCTGGTTACTGAAGTCTTGCTGGTGGCCATTTGTGAAGGCTCGAAAATTGGGCGGCACAGCATACACCCCGTTTTGTGGGTAATGGCTGGGGGCTTTGAAATCATCTCCAAGATAGACATCTTCAGATCCGTTTTCACTGGCCCTGCCAGAGATCTCAAACATGCTTTTATCTTCTGCCTCGTTATGATGGACAGGCCAGTCACTCGCATGCATTTCACTTGGGGTGTGTCCTTGCTCGTACACAAAGCGGTTGGCAAACAGATTCTGGTCCTGCCCATAATCCTGAGGATAAACAGTTTAAGTGAATATAGCGGACACTATCGCAGTTGGATAATGTGACTAGTATTAACATACTCGTGTGAGCAAAAGAGGGAACAAACTGAGGTTAGGGAATAAGAACTAATAAAACGTTAAATTCACTCGTTTATTCAATGATCCTTCAATTGAAGATGACTCCGAGCGTAACTGAGCAGAGGGTTGGACTAGAAGACCTCCAAAGCTCCTTCCAGTTCTGTAATTGCTAGGATAGCAACCAGCATAAAAGCTCTCAGGTGCAACATCAGGAAGAACCACCAGTATTAGCTATTACTTCAGAAACTTAACAGATTCATCCATGCCTTCAGAAGTGACAGAGCTTCTAATATACTGCCGTTACTGCAGAAATTGATGCTATATTCAGAGATGTATTTCCTTGAGAATAGCCAGTGTTGGGCTACATAGCGCAGGAAATATTTTACAAAATTGGCCAAATTTCAATTCTACGAGAGTAATGGGTCCCGGATTTTGGACGCATTGTGTAAGTTAGCCCATTTGTGGTTCCTTGGTTCAAAATTTGATGCCCCGCAAACTATTTCACCCTGTTAAAGGTTACATACAGACAAACAGGAAAGGGCAGGAGATAAGAGATATTGATAGATGATGACAGATTCAGATAGTTAGAGACACAGATAGATATGGATAAATGATAGATGACTGATAGATGATGATGACATATTAGGTAGGTAGGTAGGTAGGTAGGTAGATAGATAGATAAGGTAGAGAAAATTAGATTGGATGGATGGATGGATGGATGGACAGATGGATGGACGGACAGAGAGATGATAAAGCACCATTTTCAGCTTCTAACAAATCAGACGGAACAATATTTTAATGTTCATTTTGAATGAGCCGGGAGATGTTTTAAGCTTGCACAAAAGCAGTTCAAGTAAAACTCACACTCGGAGGGTTTGTTGCAACTGGGCGATCATTCCATTTGGTGGCATCCTGATCCCAGGGTTCATGCACTCTATACAGAAAAAAAGGAGGTTTAGAAACCCATTTGTTTGTATAGTCTTATTGTGATTTCAAACACACACACACACACACACACAAACAGTACAACATTTTTCCTGATAGATTTCAGAAGATAATGTGTACATGCCATTTGAATGCAATTTTGTAGTTACAACATTTTTCAGAGCAAGGGGTGGGGGTGTCAAGTGACCACTTTCTTACTGCTCATGTTCTTCAGCTGCACTGAAGTCAGAAAGCTGATCTCCGCTGTCTTCTAGCATGTCATGAGGAAGATCTGTCAGTAGCTGTTGTAGCTGAAAGGGAAACACACGTATGGGAATACGGGACAAATATCTCGCACTAAAACATATCTTGCCTACTCTCTAGACTTTAATACCAGAGGAGTTTGCATTGAAAGAACTACCTTAAGGATATTGCTACAAAGTCAGTCTAATGGTTTGCTATTTGCCTGTTCTGCCCCAAATGTTTCTTAGAGAGCACAAATAGGTCAGGGTAAGGAAGGAAATTAGGGAACTTAAAGAGCCATTATACAAATAAATTTATGAAAGCTTGCCCCTTGAATAATTAGCACACCTGCAGCTTTGAGAACTGTGTTTTAAACAATAATTATAAAAAAGTGGATCCATTTTTAGTTTGCTATGGCTTGCCAGGAGATTCAGCTTCAAGAACTATATTTTGATCAACTTGGTCAATAGGACATACTGCTATCAGAGATATTTCAAAGAGCCGTGGTGGCACAGTGGTTAGAATGCCGTATTGCAGGCTAACTCTGTTCACTGCCTTCCATCCTTCTGAGGTTGGTAAAATGAGGACCCAGATTGTTGGGGGCAAGATGCTGACTCTGTAAACCGCTTAGAGAGGGCTGTAAATCACTGTGAAGCAGTCTATAAGTAAGTGCTACTGCTATGAGCCAGGATATGCAATTAAAGTACCTCTGATTATCTATTTCATTCTCAGAAACAATTAAGACTAGGGTGAGCCTATCGTAATTCTTCCGCATGAGCTTTCCCTTCCCCAATGGTGCTGATCCCCCTTCTCAATCACATAGCAGCTATCTGTCTCACATACCCAAACACGGCTTACCTCTGGCATTGTGAGACAACTGCAATTAATGCACTTCAGTGTATTTTTAACTACTGATCTTTTGACTGAAAATAAACTTCAAACTTCAAATAACGAGCCGTTCAGTTTGTGAGTAATATCGTAGCATGTATTAAAATCATGGTATTGTTGTGAGAGACTGTCTTTCTCTCAAATTTGGAGTAGATGCTAATATTTAACTTATATTTTTTTAAGCAGATGGTAGAATGGAAATGGTACCAAATCTGTGCAGGATTAGTTTTTTGGGAGAAAAGGCAACAGATAGTTCATGTACGATGTCCTCAACTTACAACAATTCATTTAGTGACCATCCAAAGTTACAATGGCACTGAAAAAAGAGACTTATGACCGTTTTTCCCATGACCATTGCAACATCTACCTGGTCATGTGATCAAACTTCAGACCCGTGGCAACTGACTCATATTTATGACGGTTGCAGTGTCCCGGGGTCATGGAATCCCCTTTTGCAACCTTCTTAAAAGCAAAAGCAAGGGGGAAACAAGATTCATTTAACCACTGTGTTACTAACTTAATCGTTGAAGTGATTCACTTAACAACTGTGGCACAAAATGGGGCAAAATTCACTTAACAACTGTCTTGCTTAGCAACAGAAATGTTGAGCTCAATTGTAGCAGTAAGTCAAGGGCTGTCTATATTATATTTCCACCGCAGTTCCCTCCATTTCAGCTATTCGCTCTTCAGTTTTGAGAAAATTAAATACATTTTCAAAAAAATCTTCTGAACTTACTTGGCGCAAAGAGTCCTGAATAGAATAGACCTGTTCTTCTAAACCTTCTGTGAGATTTTGGTACATAGAATGGATTTCAACTAATACATCTGTGCAGTACATTTTCTTTTTCTCACAACATTACTAGAAAACTGTATATAATAATATAAGCGGTTATCAGATCATAATCTACCATGTTCCTTTCCGATGGAGCCTTTAATGTGTTTATTAACTTGGGGGGGGGGAGAGAATCAGCCTAGAAATACGAGAGGACAAACTAGCGTAATAAACTTTAAAGTTCCTCCGTTATCAAAATCTGGATAATTCCTGGCACAGAAGTTAGCTGACTTTTCTAATTACTTTCAAATAAATCTTATTTCACACTAACAGAATTAAACTCAGCACAATGAGGGAAACATCTAAAATAAAGTCCTACCCTATCTGCATTAGCCTTTACTTTTATTTATACGCCCATTATAATGAAGTAAGAAGAAAAAAAATCAATTTTGTAACAACTACGTCAGCTAATGTACCACTCCATAATTCTCCGAGACCAAATCTATTTCAAACAGCTTTGCTAAAATAAAACACTTGTATCTACAGGCCTTTCTGTGATATATTAATCTTTCTAATGTCCTGCAGCAAAAATATAAAATTCTAAGAAGAATCCCAGAGATGCAGAAAAATGCTTAACAAGAGACATTTCCTCACAAGCCCTAGTTTTCAGAGAATAAAATTAAAACTTATAAGATACGCATATTGAACTAGTGCATAAAACAGCATATATGTCTCCATCTACCCACATCACTAAATACTCCAGACAAGAGGCATAACTCAGTTTGTTGCAACAGCAGATAACCTGGAGATGTACAGAAGCTTTAGTCAGAAGAAATGAGCAAGGGACTTTTATTCAGATTTTAAAGGAGCAGCTCCAATAAGGCTGACATCATGAGAAACCAAAGAGTAAATTCAAGCAGATTATGATGTCACAGAAACGTCATCTTTCCAATGCAACATTAGCTTCAATGAAAAAGTAGCTGGTGACAACTTCCAGAAATAAGGGACGTCTAGCCTCTCTTAAATTGAAATTCAAGTGAAATTATGGCAGGCAAAGATTTGAGAGCAGACAGGCTTGCTAATACTCCCGACAAGTTTTGCCAACAGGTAACTCTTACCTCTTGCTCCCTAGCATAATCCTCTTGGTCATATTCGTCCTCTTCATGTTGCATCTGTAAAGCGGCACTGTCAAAATCCAGCGACATCCTTCCCAACTTGTTTCTTGGGCCACCTGGGGAAAAATAGCTATTTTAAAATTCCATGTGCAATTAATTAACCCTGTAAGGCTTTGGTAAAAGAATGCCAAATCCAATGTAACACAATTATTCTGTAACTCTTATTTTGTTTACTACAACGTTTAATCACTGAGCTCTTGATTTTCAAGGAAATTTGTGGAGGCAGATACAGGTGTTACCACCTGGGTTAAGTCACCCTTGTTCACAAATAGGAGCTATTTATAAGATTACCCCTTCCCAATTCATGTATCCCTTATCTATATATCAATAACCAGTTTTAGTGGATTAAATCATAAATCATAAGATGTAACACTCAGTGATAGCCGTAGGATACTAAATAAGCAATCAACATTTAGGAAACTAAATAAAGCAATATAAATCGTAAAGATACAAGTAACGTATGTGGCACATGTTATTACCTCACTTGTGAAATAAAATAAAATAAAAAATAAAATAAAGAAAAAAATAAAAAGTACCTTGCATCAAGGTACATGTGGTTAACCGAATCCTTCTGATTTACTCAGAATGCACAGAACAGGTTAAAAAAATAGAATCTTGTCAAGGTTCTAGTCCTCAAGGAGGAACTGGCCGAACTGTCAAGCTGTTTAGTAAGGATGTATTACCATTCTTCTTCTCATCTCATCTTTCCTATTACCTACCTACCTTCTTTTTCTACTTCTGTATGTAACTTTGTTACTTGTATCTTTACGATTTATAATGCTTTATTTAGTTTCCTAAATGTTGATTGCTTATTCAGTATCCTATGGCTATCACTAAGTATTACATCTTATGATTTATAATGAATGTATTTTTATGACAACGATGGTCATGTTTTATCACTGATAGCTTTCTATGTACAATGAGAGCTTATGCGCCTGAGACCAATTCCTTGTGTGTCCAATCACACTTAGCCAATAAAGAATTTGAATTAATTCTCTGCCTGATAACAACCTAACCCATAATATCTAATCCTCCCGGATCACTGTTTTTTTGTTTTTTTTTACTACAGCCACCTCTGCGAGCATCTACAAAAGAGAATCCATGCCCTCCCAACACCCCCCCCCAAATTTCAGAAAGCGAGTGCCGTTGTTTCTCACGACAGTCAAGGTTCTAGTCCGCAGTGAGGAACTGGCCTCTCTGTGTGTGTGGAAACTTTTTTTTTTAAAGAAAAACTGCCTGCGTGGAACTTTTTAAACAGTTTCTCCGAGGATGGGTCGTCAAGGAAACCCCGAAGCACCTCGGGAGAAGGAAAAGCGCTCCAGAGGGGAGGTCGAGGCCTCGTTTCCATAACAACCAGCAGCAACCGTCACCCGAGGGCCCTTCCACGGGAGCCTAACCGTCCACGTTACCCAGGAGCAGGGCCTTACTCCCACACCGCGTCCCACACGCCCCCCGCCTTGACGAGCAGCCCGGGCACCTCACCTTCTCTTCGGCGCTTCGCATCCCCGCTGGAAGATCCTGTTTTTTACCTCCCCTTCCGTGTGACAACCGAACCCCTCTGTTCCTTCGGGGGGAGGGGTCTTGCGCTTATGGACGACGCATCCACCCAATCAGATGAGACGTCATCCTGTCGGGTCTTGCGTTGGAGAGCGTGGAAGGCTGGACTTTCGCATCGTCTGCTCCCCTCCCCTCCCCTCTCCCTAAAGCAAGTTCGGTTGCCTCGCACCGCTCTATTGCTTTTGAAAGCTGGCGCGGGCGGTGGCGGGAAGAGAAAGCGGATCGGCGATTGGCTGGGAGGTTTAGCCAATCGGAGGAGTGAGGAGCGGGCTAAATTACTTTAAGTCCTTTAAATTAAATGCTTTTATTTAACAAGGGTGAGCACAATAGTGCTTAAAATTGAGATTCATAAACAAAACAAAAAAATAACACTAAAGGCATAAATTAGTGTTGTTTCCCCCCACCCAAATTTAGCAATTTTAAGAGGAGTGGTCTTCAACTCCCAGAATTCCCCAGCCAGAATTCTGGGAATTGAAGTCCACCTCAAATTTGAAAAATATTGGCATAGATTTAAAAACCATACATACCAAGCTCATTTATCTTGAGCTCCAGAATTTTTTTTTTTTGGGGGGGGGATTTGTTTTCAATACATTAAAAATCCATTTGAATTACAGTAAGTCATACTTTTATTTTTAAACAATAGCTAAACATAAAGGTAACTTCTTGTTACCTTTGAGCAACCAGGGTTAAAAATTCTTGCTAAAGTGCCTGCAAATTTATTCATACATCTATCAATAAATATCTTGCCCACCCATTTTAACATGCTAATAGATTCCCCAAATGGAATGTAGTTTACGAGTGGACGACTGTTTAAGTTAATTATATTTTATTATAGTCATGAACCATCATAAAAATAAAAATGCATGTAATAGAACCAAACCTTTAATTCCTATCTGGACTACCTGTCAAGGCTTATTTGAGATGTTACCCTGACAATTAGCCGATATGCCAAATTCTCCCCTTTCCTCTGAGGGTAGCTATGAAAAATAACCAGAAAAATATTGCTTCTGGTTAAATGGACTTGAAAGCATGTCCTCCAAGGATGTTGCATATGCTAAATAACATTTTAACTATAAAGCCCTCCTTGGAATTTTGGGCTAAATATTGCCTTAAAACTGCACAGATTGCAACAGCCTTGTTTAATCCAAAAAAGAATGGATCTCTTCTGCAAAAAATGACAAAAACATTTCACACCCATATAAGATCCTTTTCAGGGATATAGAAAGCAAATTACCCCCAGCAAGCAGTTGTATTGGATTTTTTACTAACTGTTAAAAAAAGATTTAAGTCTGTAGGAAGTTATCACCCAGCTGTCTCCCAGAAAAATGAAATATCCTAGGAAATATTGAAAAGGCAGAATATTTCTCTGGATGTGAAAAGAAAGAAGCATGTTTTAAAAGACAGAATAGCTGCCTGTAGCTTCCTGCCCATCCCCACTTTGTTAATAGGCCATTAAGAAGGCCGAGCTAGTCCACTTTACATAATAAAGACTTCTCCACTTCAGCTCCGGGGGGGGATGGGATTAAGGCATGATAATATTGGCCCTTTACTCAAATGACCACATGGCATCTGAGAACTCAGCCATACCTGGATTCAAAACGCAGCCCAGAGAGTTGCCCTGCATGGCTCCATGGGA